AAAAAGTGGTCAAACTCAGATTGTGAGGAGAACCAATGTTTTTTAATTTCCTGTACTAGGCTAGGTTAAAATAGACTACATACAAGAGTTTGAGTTTTGATTGTGAACAAACAGGATGAATAAAAAAGAAAATGAATAGAAGCAAATGGATTAATCCAGAACAAAGAAGAGGGTACAACAACCAACACCAGAAATGAAGCATCTACAACCTAGTAGATAAGCAGACACAAATGAGAGAAATTAGACCCTCCTTGGTCAGGGCTCTAAGACTACAAGCTAGGGGGTTTGAATTCATAACAGGGTGATAAGTCAGACTAAAGAGGAGGAGTATCATAGTGGTTATGGTGTAGATCCTATTGATTATCCTGGACAGACCTTATTAATTATTCTAGACCAGAGGCAGGAGTAAGTGAATTTAGAAGAGAGGAGAGGAAAAGAGACAAAATTCCATCACTGGGGTTTATCGCCAGCTATCCAGGAGCTCCTCCTGAAAAGCTGTGTTTAGCCCCAGCTAGCCAGGAGCCCCTCCTGGTGAGCTGGGATTAAACCCAGCTGGCCAGGAGCTCCTCCTGACAGATCAGCTGGGTTCAAAACCACCTTGTTGGAAAGAGCTCCAGGCGAGCTGGGTTTAAAATTGCTTGATGGAAGCTTCTGGAGAGCTGGGTTTAAATTCAGCTTGTTGGAAGCTGATGGAGAGCTGGGTTTAAACCCAGCTTGTCGGAAGTAGCTCCTGGCGAGCTGGGTTTAATCCCAGCTCGCCCGGAAAGAAGCTCCTGGCAAGCTGGGTTTAAACCCAGCTTGTCGGAAGTAGCTCCTGGCGAGCTGGGTTTAATCCCAGCTCGTCGGAAGAAGCTCCTGGCAAGCTGGGTTTAAACCCAGCTTGTCGGAGTAGGCTCCTTGGGAGCTGGGTTTAATCCCAGCTCGTCGGAAGAAGCTCCTGCGAGCTGGGTTTAAACCCAGCTGTCGGAAGCTACTGGAGAGCTGGGTTTAAAACCAGCTCGTCGGAAGCTTCTGGAGAGCTGGGTTTAAACCCAGCTCGCCGGAAGAAGCTCCTGGAGAGCTGGGTTTAAAACCAGCTCGTCGGAAGCTTCTGGAGAGCTGGGTTTAAACCCAGCTCGCCGGAAGAAGCTCCTGGAGAGCTGGGTTTAAACCCAACTCTTCGGAAGAAGCTCCTGGCGAGCTAGGTTTATTCCCAGTTCGTCGGGAGGAGCTCCTGCCACTGGCGAGCTGGGTTTAATCCCAGCTCGTCGGGAGGAGCTACTGGCGAGCTGGGATTAATTGGGAGGAGCTTCTGGCGAGCTGGGTTTAATCCAAGCTCTTCGCCCAGCTCGCCAGGAGCTCCTCCCCGCCTGGAGGGTGCGGCGTACTCGTAGTCTCATGTCGGATTACGCGTAATCCGACATGAGACTGTGCCGCATCGGGAGGGACTCCCTCTGATGCGCTGGGTTGAAACCCAGCGGGGCCAGGAGTTTATCCTAATGAGATGGGTTTAAGCCCAGCAGGCCAGGAGTTTCTCCTGACCAGATGGGTTTAAAACCAGTGGGCCAGTATTTTCTCCTGACAATATGGGTTTAAACCCAGCAGTCCTCCTGACAAGCTGGGGTTAAACCCAGCTCCTCCCAATGAGCTGGGTTTTTCTTGACAAGCTAAGTTTAAACCCAGCTGGCCAGGAGTTCCTCCTGACAAGCTGGGTTTAACCCGATTACAGGTAATACAACATGAGACTGAACTACATTGGGAGGGACTCCTCCCAAAAAGCTGGCATTAAACCCAGCTTATCAGGGGCTCCTCCTGACAATATAGGTTCAATCCCAGCTTTTCTGGAGCCCCTCCTAACAAGCTGGGCTTGATCCCAGCTTTTCTGGAGCTTCTCCTGACAACATTCATTTAATCCCAGCTTTTCTTGCCAGGCCCTCCTTCCAACAAGCTGGGTTTCATCCCAGCTTGCCCAGAGCTCCTCCCAAATAGCTATCCAGGAGCTCCTCCCAGAAAGATGGTATCAAATCCAGCTTACCTGGAAGAGTCTCTCACAAAGGTTTGTTGAATTATCCAGCTTTTGGGGAGGGAGTATTGCAACATAAGCAGCATTTAAACCCAACCTGTTGAGTTGGCCCATCCTGGTGAACTAGCACATAATCCAGGTTTTTGGGAGGTGCCTCTTCCAGCAAAATACATCTAATACCAGCTTTTTGAAAGGGACCCCTCCCATTCATCTGGTATTAGAAGCAGCTTGTTGAGAGGAACCCTGTTCAATGTAGCATAGGCTCATCCAGGATGATATGCAATCCAATAGGACTCACATCAGACTTGGCAGCCTCCTCTGACATACAGCCTGTGGGGCCTTCCAACAAGCTGGGATTAACACTTAAGTTGATTTCAAATCTGGAATATTCATTCTAAAATAAGTGCTGACATACAGTAAATCATATTAAATTTTTGTGTTTCCTATTTCTTAATCAGCAAAGAATGGGGAAAAACCTTGTGTCAAAATCAGGTAAATTCAGAGGAAGTTAACAATCTTTTCCAGGAAATTGATAATAATTTCAGAGGAAAACCTAGTGACTTTCTTGTGAAACTCCTTTTACATTTATGATTCTTCTAGTGATTTTTATAATCTTTTTTGAATACTTCAAGATGAATTAGTTGAGACTTGCAGTCACTGGCCATCCAGTGCCCTGGAATTTCCCCTGGTGATAACCCCCAGCTACAGTCTGCCGCTCCAGGTACATAATAGCATGGGGCTCTGGGATACCAAACTTGGACCAGAAGCAGCCATGGTTGATCCAACTGATTATGGGGGGGGGGGTTGCTGATGCATAGCCACTTCTTCATCATGTACAGTCTCCTCCCAGATGTTTATAGCCATCTGCTTTGAGCTCCACAGCGGGAAACCAAAAACTTCAAGTCAAAAGATTTTGTGGAATGGTGGAAAATAGGTTTCAAAGAATGAATATGAAAAAATAATAATCAAAAACAAGATTTTAAAATTTGTGAAAAAGATATAAAAGAAAATCAACTTTTTTTTGAAAACTTGAATTTTTGGTTTGAGTGAAAAGTGAACACACAGAGGGCAAGTTTGGAACATGAAAAGAATGATTATAAATGAAAAATATTGATCCCAAAAAAAGTTTGAGCATGGTGGGTGGACACCCTGCATTCAAAATCAGTAGATTGCAGTACCAGAATGCCACATTTCTTGGTGAATGACCCCTTAGGCACCCTTTTTAAACCAGGCACCAAGTAGTCATTGTTTTTTTTCCAAATTTTCACTTCTTATTATTCATTCCAGATCTCATGCTATCATCTCTGAGATTTCATCTTTTCCTGAAAGAAATATTAGAGCTGACAGTTTTTGTGATTTTCTCATTTTTATTTTTTTTACAAATTTGATAATCTTGTTTTTTAATATTATTTTTTTCATCTTAATTCTTTGAGACCCATTTTACACCATTCCACAAACTCTTGTGACTTGAAGCCTTTGGGATCCCTGTGTGGAGCTCAAAACAGATGGCTATAAACATCTGGGAGGAGACTGTACATTGTTTCCATTCCTGGGTGATCACAACTGGAGCTGAGGTATGCTGGATCTGTCGAACTAAAGCTTTCTCCAAAAGCAACTCCAAGGGGCAAATGTGCTGCAAACATTTGTGGATTAAAGGACACAGACTGTACCCCCCCCCCAAGACTGAGTGGGAGAGCATCTGAGTAAAGTAATTATTATTTTTGATATGATTATGTTTCATGCAAAGGGGAAGGATGAGGGGAATGTTGTACAAGTAGTGACAGTATGCAAGATAGATGATATAGTGACTGAGAAGGAAGGATAAAGAAACCAATGGAGGCTTAAAGAAAGTGATCTTCAAGGCATCCAGTCCAAATCTTCGTCCATCATATCAAGAAACTGGATTGTCCCCAGACGATTGCCAGCCAATTTGACGGAATAAGATGGACGCTGATCGCCATCCGAAGGAGGGGAAGGTGTAATCCAATTGCGATCCACAGATTGCCCG